CAAAAAAGTACAGTAGCCTTCAAACCGTGCAGACGAATGTGCGGAAAAAATTGGGGACTGCAACCAGAAATGACCACATGGCTCTATGCCAGCGTCATCAGGCCTATGATAGCATATAGGTCAGTAGTTTGGTGGCCAAAGACACAACAGGCTGAAGAGATTCAAAGGCTCAGTGCTATTCAAAGGCAAGTGTGCCTGAGTGCCACTGGTGCAATGAAATTCACTCCAACAGCCGCTTTAGAGATTCTCTTGAACCTACCACCACTACAAATATATATTCAATGCGAAGCCAGAGCAGTCGTGAGTAGATTGTCAAGGGGTCAAGCACCCATAAGCAACGCGCACGGTAAAGACTATAGGAAGCTATATGAAGAGTTGGAAAGCGACCCCATCATGGGGATGCCAACGGATGGCATAATTCCAAAATATAGCTCTGAAAAAACTTTCAAAATAAGTATAACGGACAAAGAGGCATGGAAGGCAGGACCTCCTATCAATGCAGACATTGCTGTCTATACGGACGGCTCCAAAACTGAGGAAGAATCATGAGCTGGCATTTATGGGGCCAAGCCAAAGACAAGAGTCTCATTGAGTTTAGGCAAATACGCGACGGTGTTTCAGGCAGAAATTATTGCAATACATCATTGCGTGAAAGAATTGATAGGGCAAGAGTTCAAAGGCGAAACCATTGCAATCTATTCAGATAGCCAGGCGGCAATCAAAGCAGTCAACTCGATGCAAGTTAACTCAAAACTAGTATGGGACTGCTAAGAAACCCTAAATGCACTGGGCAGTCAGAATAGATTGACTCTAGCATGGGTACCAGCACATACAGGGTACGAGGGCAATGAAGAGGCAGACTCACTTGCCCGAGCAGGAGCAAACAAAGCACTTAATGGCCCAGAACCCTTCTGTGGTATTGCGGAAGCTATACAAAAGACTAGTATCAAATTATGGATGCAAACAAAATCTCAAGAATGGTGGAACAACTCGCCAGGAATGAGACAGGCAAGAGAGTTCATTGAGAAACCATCGCCAACATTCACAGAATATCTACTAAGCCATAAACGTAGTTCAACTAGAATACAAGAAGGACTTCTCACAGGGCATTGTAGGCTCAACAAACACATGAGTACGATAGGTCTGACTGCTGTGCAGGTTCTGTCAAGAAGAGGAAGAAACAGTAGTACACGGTGTAACGTTTTCATTTGCTAATATAACTTGCCTATATCAAACGTTACCTTTTTCATGGTATTTTCTACTAAAACACTAGAGAAACTCTGTAGATATACACTGTCGAATTTATAAACCTTTATTGATAAATTCAGTTGACATAGTTCAGAATTTAACATCTAATATTAAAGCGCCCTGTATATCACTTCTCATCTTGTATCCAACAGAACGCTCACAGGTAGTAGACTGAAACAAAAAGGATTAATGAATTAGGCAGTACCTAATGTAATACCTATAACTAGAAAACAAACACAAACATATATTAATAAATTCTAGGTACTTGAATAAACCTTACCTTTCTCGCTTCTCGTTTGAATACACAGTGTTGTCTTCTTCGAATACACACTGTTTTCTATAGTCTACTTGATTTCAATGATGCAGGCACTGAAAATAAACAAGGTAACCATTAGAATGTCATTTATCAATATTATAAAGATCAGATATAGGTTTGATTAGAAAACTGCTTGCACCTACCTCTATTGTAAATAAATTGTACATAATGTAGAATCGAATGGGCCTGGGTATTTTTAAGTGATCCAATGATTTTCGTTTTGTTTTGAAATAAAATCATCCAATGTTCACGTCTTGGTTATGGTTTACCAATTCTTCGTTATTAGCCACTGTCACTCTTTTCTTGCTTTGATACATTCTTATTCTTCGTTCGCAATGACATCAATTTCCAATCAGCACGATACCTTTTGGGTCTATTGTCAAATATTGTTATTTTCGTGAGTATCTAGCTCGAGGCGGAGCATAGTCGTATGGTTCAAGGTCACATCACCAACAGCCTTAGTGTACAGGTGCAATTAGAAATACTGCTACGAGACATGTCATTCGTCGATAGTTTCGATCATTGGTTCCAATCCACTTTTGATGTTCCGTGATGTTGACGATTTTTGACAAGTTCAATGTCTGGGTCAAGTTCAATGTCAGGGTCAAGTTCCCTTTTCCGGAGAGGTCATTTTTGGGCCATTTTGCTGCTGGCTGTTCACGTGTTGGCTCGTCAGGCTCCTGGGAGATCCTGAAATTTTGCATAGGCACCTAGCCTTACCTAGGAAAAATTATGTTTCGGCGCGATGGTAAGATTTCAAACTCTCTTTTTAATATCGTTATAAAATATCTCAATCATATTCAGGATGGAAGTCTCCATTCGAGAATTTCTCGAAACACGTGCTTGAGGAAGGATTTTTTTGTAATGGACACCAATGCTGCTCAACCGGTCATCCTGGAAGTCACACATCCATCTGTAATTTTGATTTGGTAAAACCCTCTATACCCCAGAGGTGAGTTATTGCATTTTATTCACGACCAAAGTTAGCTCTCATTTTTTTTGAGACCAGGTTCTGATACCTACCTAATCAATTTTAGGGTTTTACGTATGGGCATATTCTTTACCATGTCCTGGGTTGAATCGTCTGATATGGCTGAGCAAGGGCCATCCGATTTCCTCATGTGGTAGGCTGACCACAGATCACCACACCTTTCAAGCAGTCTCCAATTTTCAAGGTTTTGCTGTCTACTAGCTTCAAAGATGGTCAGTATCATTGTCTGGCAGTTTTGCAGTCTCCCAATCTACTAGTCTACAAGTTTCTACCAGTTTACTATCCACTTCAGCTTTCTACCTGATGATGAACAAAACCATGA